ACGCTTGACTTTATTAATTGGGTCAATACGATTGCACAAAATAGATAGAAAAATGAGACATTTTTTGACTATAACTTAGCGAGGATGGAGATAGATAAGAGAATCATCTTCCCTAACCCATGAACCATCAATAAACATTCTTGAGGAAATATAATTGGAATTTGGAATAGGGAAATTGCATCTAATAACAAAAAAAAAAAATCTATAATCAAAATCCTATTGAACCTAAATATAAGGGTTGATATTCTAGCTATATATGCTAATGTTGTTACTTTCTCAATTATGAAAATCTTTGCAAAGATCTCGCATATTTTGTGACAAATGCTCACGACTGCTAAGTCGACATTTGGCATAGGTACATGAAAGAATTATCAGTCATACTTTCTTTTGAGGAATAATTAGTTTTCTTTTTTTGTTAAACTTTTTCAAATTAAATTGCATGAGAAAAAAAAAAAAATTACAAGTCCAGCCCAGACTTTAGTGTTTATGGGATAGCCCATTAAATATAACTTTAAGAAAAAGAGCCCAATTAAGAGACCCAATAGAAGATGAACCTAAAAAACCAAGTGGCTTTAGACAATATACTCCATTTTGTTAGACAAAAATGGTGAGACTCAGTTTAACGTAAATGAGACTGACTTAGACAATATACTCCATCTCATCGGGTAATTTTGGTGTTCCCTTGACTCAGGTTTTGATCTTTTGGAATTGTTTGAGCTCTAGTTGTGGAGTGTTGTGTTTTAGTCTTGTGTAAGGTTTGTATGAGTTAGGGTCCTTTTGGTCAAAGAGATATGCTAGTTTTTGCCCCAGACGATTGTACTGGTCTATGTGTTTGTTTGGTTGCAGAGATTAGTTTGGATTCGGTGGTCAGATTATTATTGTTTTGACGTCGCTGTCGTCTTTATTTCCCGGTGTCTATGGTAAGGTTATTTGATCGTTGATTCTTTGCTATGTTGCCTTTTTCCTCTGCGTTCTCGTCCGTTTTCTCTGTTTGCTGGTTAAGTTGATTCTAAAACTGCATTTGGTCGTCCAAGCTTCTTCTGGGTGTGCCTCAAGGTTTAGGTTCTGTTCATTGCTTATGTTTGTTTGCTCAGAGTTGGCTACTTCTTGATCTTTGGCTTCGAGTGTGGGTATGCAATTGGCTCTCTGGTTTGAGTTTGGGGTGATGACTTTGTTTTTCTTTTTAATCAAATCCTCTTTCTTCTTTGTTTTAGCGTTTTGTATATCTTGGGTAAAGATTTCTCTATAATAT